GGTCTATTAACCTAGATGAACAAAAACAATGGACAAAGTTTGCTTAAGACAAAGATAAACCTTTACTAAAATTATCATATGCCTGGGGGGGAGGAGGGTGACTGTCTACCATGACCTGCCCAGTTAGGAATTTACCAGATTACCTTGTAAAGTTACATTCTATAGAACTTCTTTTCGTCCGTACTATACAAACCTTTCAGATGTATAAAAATATCCAATTGAAAGTATTTCCTATTCATAACACTATGTATATGTATTTTAAAAAATACTGAGTTCCAGTCAAGATGGCGGAGTAGGTAAATGCTGTGTTGCCTCCTCTCACAACCACATTGAAATTACAACTAAACTATAGGACAGCCATCATTGGGACTTACTTGAAGCCTAGCTGAATAGAAGTTTTACAACTGGAGACGTATAGAAGAGGCCAATTCGAGATTAATAAGAGAACTGAAGACATAGAATGGGCTAGTTCCACACCCCATGTGTGGCAGTTGAGAATTGGAAGGGATATCTCAGCTGCATTGAGGTCCACTTGGAGAAGCAAGGGATCCCAGCCCCTCACCAGGCTCCCCAGCTTAGGGTTCCACTGCCAGGAAGAGAAGTCCCCACAACTTCTGGCTATGAAAACCAGTGGAGATTGTGGCTGAATGAGATGAAGGGCAGCTAGAGTCACAGACATTCCTCTTAAGGGAACTGTGTATGGACTTACTTGCTGATGGACTCACTTACTCTGAGCTCCAGCACTAGGGCAGCGATTGAAAGGTGCCAGGAACATATGGAGAAGAACTGAGTTGTATGGATTCAGGGTGAGGGCTAGAGGAGCAGTTTTCTCCCAGACAGAAAAGTGCTGATAGAATCCATTGTTCCTTTGTTGGGCCCTCCTCCCTCAAGCTGTGCACTTGCAGGAGGATGCCATATCTGAGTCTCCATCAACCCAGCTAACATTGGTCATCCAGCACAGGTGATTCCCTGAGACCCTGCCCCATCCAACTTGAGGGCACTTCCAAGCCACTCCCAGTGGTTTTTCCATGCGAATAGCCTGTCTTGGGTCCTGCTGTGCTTTTTCCTAAAATCTCTCAAAGGTTCACAAAACCCAAACAAGCAGCATCAAGCCTCAGCATGCCCCATACCTGCTCAAGCCTGGCACTAGCAGCAGCCTGCCTTGGTTTGCAGCTTGCCCTCTACAGGCAACTCCCAGCCCAGTATGAGTGGTGGCCATCTACAGATTTCTTGGTGACTCTTGCCAGGTGGCACCAGGCAGGACACAGTCTGTGGCTGAACTTGGCCTACAATGGGGCCCCAGGGCCGGCACACCCAGTGGCCAGCTTCAGACAGAGCTGGAGCATCCCCTGGGGCTACATTGCAGGATAACATACTCCAAGAGCAGACTAGGTAGGCATTAGAGCTCCTTACGGTCAGCACCTCACTGGCTAGTCCTCATAACCAATCAGCCCAAGGGTCAGTCTCTCCTACTGATGTGTAAACCTCAACCAATGCTCAAATACAACAAGAGGATATACATAACACATACAAGGGACAAACCTGGACTATTCAGCTCAGGTGAGCAGGGAACACTATGCCACTGGGCCTCACAGGATACCTACTACATAAGGCCACTCTTCTAAGACTGGGAGACATAGTAACCCTAATAAATAGAACCAAACTCAGTCAAAATAAGGAGACAAAGAAACATGCCCCGAATGAAAGAACAGAACAAAGCTCCAGAAAAGGAACTAATCAACATGGAGACAAGCAATCTGCCAGATTCAGAGTTCAAAACGCTGGTTATAAGGGTGTTCAATAAACTTAGGGGAAGAGTAGATAAACTCAGTGAACGAGGACATAGAAAACATAAAAATGGAGATAGAAAACTTAAAAAAAGAAGCAGTCAGAAAAGAAGAATACAACAACTGAAATGAATACATTAGAGGAAATCAATAGATTATATAAAGCAGAGGATCGAATCAGTGATTTAGAAGATAAGGTAAGAGATAACACTGAATTGAAACTTAAAAGGAAAAAGAATTTTTAAAAATAAGGGGCCTCTGGTAGAACATCAAGCGTACCAACATTTGCATCACAGCAGTTTCAAGAGAGCGAGGAATTAAAAATCTGCTTGAAGAAATAATGACAGAAAACATCCCTATCCTGGTGAAGGAAATAGACATAAAGCTCAGGAAGTACAGAGAGTCCCAAACAAGGTGAACTCAAAGAGGTCCATGCTGAGACACATCATAATTAAAATGCCAAAGGTTAAAAACAAAGAGAATTTCAAAGTAGCAAGAGAAAAGAGGCCAATTACCTACAAGGCAGCTCCCATAAGACTGTCAGAAAATTTCTCAACAGAAATTTTTCAGGCCAGAAAGGACTGGCATGAAATATTCCAAGTGATGAAAAGCAAGGGCCTACAACAAAGATTACTCTACCCAGCAAAGCTATCATTTAGAATTAAAGGACAGAAGAAGAACTTTCTAAACAAGAGAAATCTAAAAGTTCATCGCCATCAAACCAGTATTACAGGAAAAGTTAAGGAGACTTCTAGAGAGGAAGAAGAAAAAATAAAAAAATAGGAATAATAAAATGGCAATAACTATGTGTCTAGCAACAATAACTTTAAATGTAATTGAATTAAATGCTTCAATCAAAAGACTTAGGTGGCTGAATGGGTAGGAAAACCAGACCCTTACATATGCAGTCTACAAGAGATCCAGTTCAGTTCAAAAGACACACACAGACTGAAAGTAAAGGGATGGAAAAAGATATTTCAGGAAAATGAAAACAAACAAACAAAAAAGCTAGGGTAGCAACACTTATATCAGATAATATAAGCTTTAAAGCAAAAGCTGTCACAAGAGTCAAAGAAGGACCCAGTAATCCCACTTTTGGTATTTATTCAAATAAACCCAAAATACTACTTCGAAGGGACATGTGAACCCATATACTCACTGCAGCATTATTTACAGTAGCCAAGATATGAAAGCAACATGGGTGTCCATCAATGGATGGATGAATAAAGAAGAGGTGGTACATATACACAATGGAATATTACTCAGCCATAAAAAGAATGAAATCTTGCCATCTACAACAATGTGGATGGACTTAGAAGCTATTGAGTGGATGGACTAAGTCAGATAAAGAAAGACAAATGCCGTGTGATTTCATTTACATGTGCAATCTTAAGAACAAAATAAACAAACTCATAGATCATAGATACAGAGAACATTTTGATGGTTGCCAGATGGGAGAGGGATTAGAGGGGTGAAAAAGGGGAAGGGATTAAGAAATACAAACTAGTAGTTACAAAACAGTCATGGGGATGTAATGTATAGCATAAGGAATATAGTCAATAATGTTGTAATAATTATGTATGGTGTCAGATGGGTACTAGATTCATCGGGGTGATCACTTTGTAAGTTATATAAATGTCTAATTACCATATTGTACACCTCAAATGAATATAGTATTGCATATCAACTGTAATTGAAAAGTTATTAAAAAACGCCATTGATTAAAATATAAATATGCATATAGTGTTCCATAAATATAAGATTTATGATTCAAATGAAAGCCTTTTGGGTATTTTAAAATAATAGCCAATAATATAAAAAATATTTGAACTCTTTATGCGTGAAAAACATATTTTTATTACATAGCCCAAATCAGATGATTGATATAAAAGGAAAAGATATCACTGTAAAAGTTGACATAAGTGGAGCCATTTTAAAATGGAGCCAGAGCAGCTATTTTAGAGGAACTGGCCTGCATGTCTTGCTTCTTGAACCTTTGGAATGTTTGAACTGAGCAAAGGAATCTTGGACTGGGCCAAAGCAACAATTGTCTTAAAACAAATGTTTGTAAAGCCAGCAGGACTGCAGATTCTGACTACAAGGACTAATAATTACGGACTTTCAATCTGAAGATAGAATCAGTAACCAATCATGCATTGCTAAAGAATAACTCTGCTTGTCAATGCCAATGGAAATTCTTTCTTCTTCTCATATAATTATTCCATTCTTTTTCTCATAAAACCTCTGTTGCTTTGCTCTGTAATAAGGACATTTTATGGGTTTCTGTCTGAATCTCTGCTGCAAGAATTGCAATTCTTTGATCCAAATACAAGCTTGTTGGTTCTCATTTTGGCTTTTAAATTAACATCATAAAACCAAGAATACCAAAATTCTTAAAATTATTATGTTTGATTTCAAAGGTATTTCAAAAGCTACAGGAAAAATAAGTCACTAAAAATCAGAAATTCCAAATCACCTAATTTTGGTCTTATTGTACATCTTTTATTAAATTGTAAATTATTACATTAAAGTTTAAGTTTCTACTCTTGGTCCACCCTTTTTGATTTTTATAGATAAAAAGGCAGATAAAATGAATTAGGTGCCTGGAAATCTTACCCTTCTCAGTTAAGTTTAACCCATCAGTTGCAGTAAATTAAGAGAACATGAGAGGGAAATCGCTTCTAATTCTCTACTTAATTTGTAAAAATAAAAGCTCTAAATGAAAGGAAATCAAATTGGGCATTTGAATGAGATACCTACACAGCTTCTTACAACTACATAAGTTATACAGACAAATAGAAGCTTTCATCCTAAACATTCCAGTTAATACAACTGTCAAAGTCTCCACAGTGAACTATTTTAAATTTAATCCTGGCCACCAGTCGAATTTAGGAAATAAGATATACCTAGGGTAAGGAAGGCCCACAACAGTAGATGATTTGCTGCAGAATTTCGACCTTAAATCCTACAGAAATTTTTCTTACACTCATAATAGCTAACACAGCTCTTCATAGATTAGTCTTGCTATGGTGATATTAAAAATGGCTAAAATATTTTTAATAAAGAAATGCAATTCTGATGGCACACCCAGGCAGCATATTTTTTTTTCTTAAAAAAGGACAACCTGTAATACAGAGTACAAATAAAAGCTGCATAAAAGTATGTCGAGAGTGAGAAGCACCAATTAGTTAGAATAAACATGCTTTAATTTACCCTTTCTTATTTCTGCGAAGACATTTGTACAAGCAGGTGCAAATTACTGCAATGCCAACAACTAAAAGAAACCAGAAAACAAATGACATGTAACCATGAAAAATAATTTCCAAGATTCAAAACCTAGAAGAAGAAATTAATGTTGATTATATTTCAGTTGTCAGAAATGTTATTTTATTTAAGCACATATACATTTATATTTCATCCAGACTCTTCACTGTCTAAATGCAGTTCTCTGGAATCACTTAAAAAGTCCATACAATAAGTTACAGTAGAGTCCTTGCTTAATTTAGAAAATTACCCAAAGCATATTTGGGATGAAAACTCATATGACTAATCATCTTGAAAAAACATGTATTATTTAGAGTTCGTTACTAAGTGGACATATAGACTATAAAAGAATATACAATCTTCAACACAAGGTGGTATATAATATTAAAGGTCAGGCATTTATAGATTGTTTTACTTAATTTCAAACTATAAAAACTATAGAAACTAAAAAATCATTGAAAATAATGTACTTCATCACAGTAATATTTTGATTGAAGTGATATCCAAGTTTGGAATACTTACGTATAGTAAGAATAATTACAGCAATGATTCCCGGATCTGAAAAAAAAAAAAAACAGTTTGAAGATATTGAGCATGTATGGGTCCCAGATAGCAGATGAATTTTAATTTTGATCAGATCAAATAAAAACTACAGCAAAAAAACCTATCAGTCTATAGTTTTAGCATGACTGTTAATTCATCCAAGTTACTTTGATAACAAAACATTTCAAATAGATTCCAGTTGTTGGATCTGCCTTGAGAAACTCTTAATAGGAACCTCACCCGTCATTGTTTTGCGCTGCAGTTACTATGCCAGGTTCTTTAGTAAAGGTTAATAGGACAATTAGAATTTATAAGATTAGAGAAAGTTACCTACACATGTCTACATATACTACCACTTATATTTGTCATGGTATGCAATACTAAAATAACTATAAATGTCAATAATTACTAATAATTAGTGACATCTTGTTTCTTCCCTAACTACAAATAATTGAACACAATATTTTCGTTTAGAACTTAAAGTTTTCATAATACAGGGTTATTAATAAATAAGCTAATACCTAATTCTTTAAAGTCTTCATATAATGGAAATTCACTGGGATTGGGATATCCTAAGAAAGAAAAAAAGGAAATAGTAAAAAAGAAACACTAAATAAAGCTTAAAAATCTATAAATTCATTGGTTTTGATTTTTTACCTTTGTATTAAACTGCTTATAATTTAATTTTTCTCATAAATTATATTATTGTTTCTCATTAAAGATAGTATAATAAAATCTTAAAAATTTATATTCAATGTCAACATCATTCTTTTTCCTGTCCACTGATATTTCCTGTGAGAATGTTGTGTAGCACAGCACACAAATTTATCATTACTGTATTCTCAGAATGAGGCTTGAGTTCAATGTGAACTCAAATTAAAATTTTAAAATTTTTAAAAAGTGGAGGTCTTAAAAATAATTTAGAAGTTTCTCTGAAATAGAAAAACTCTTTAACATAATAAAGACCATTTATATATTAAAACAAAACAAAACAAAACAAAACCCATAGCTAACAAAAGATTGAAAGTTTTCCCCTTAAGATCAGGAACAAGATCCTCAAAAACTGAGAATTGACCTACCACATGATCCAGCAATCCCTCTACTGGGTATTTACCCCAAAGACTTAACCCATATCCAAAAAAATATTTGCACATCGATGTTCAGAGCAGCATTTTTCACAGTGGCCAGGACATGGAAGCAACTGAAGTGTCCTATGACAGATGATTGGCTAAAGAAGCTGTGGTACATATATATACAATGGAATATTATATTACTCAGCCATAAGAAGAGATAAAATACTGCCATTCACGACAGCATGGATGGAACTCAAGATTATCATGCTAAGCGAAATAAGCCAGACAGAAAAAGGTGAAAATCACATGATATCACTTATATATGGGATATAAACCTAAAAGCAACAAATGAGCAGGACAAACAGACACTCATGACT